ACTCTTTCCTGCCTATGCAGGGGGTCAGACTCAATGATCTATTGAGGTCCCTTCCGACCCTAACATCTATGAATCTATGATGACAGGCTCCTAAGAATTACCTGAGTACATTCTGTGCTAGCCAGGTGACTCCATAGCTAGTTTTCCCTCCTTCCTAGCCCTTGCTGCTTGTTACCATCTTGGGCAGTTTCTTTTGTCTTAGTCGAGATTGCAGATGTTTTGATAGATATCCTGACATTACTCAGTATACAAACACCAGGCATTGATGAAACTTATAATTTGTATAGATACAGATGTCAAATAATGATACTTTTCCACTCCTTCAGGCTTCTGCTGTATGACCCAAGAAAGTTCTAAAAAGTCTTTGAATATCTTCTTGGTTACTTCCCACTGTTTTGTGTCTACTGGGGTGTTTGATATTTTGTAGTGGGGCCCAAAATGTTGTGACAGACCAGGAAAAAAGATTACTTCAGCAACTACGAGAGATCACTAGAGTCATGAAAGAAGGCAAACTCATTGATGGCATCTCCCCAGAGAAAGAAGCTGAAGAAGCTCCTTATATGGAAGACTGGGAAGGTAAAGGAGCATTTTTATTTCCTCTTTACTCTTTTTTAAAAAATAAATAGCTTTCCAGCAATGGATTATTTTCCCCAAATGTAAAAAGAATACTGTACATTTTGCTTCTTTCATTTTCGAATGGTAGCTTCCAAAATGCCACAAGAGGGTCTCATTTTTTTCCAATTATAATAATGAGCGAAAGGATTTTGAAATATCTAGCATTTCACATTGTGAGAATAACACGATATCTGTTGCCAGAATTGCATATGAGATTAAGCACACACCATCTGCTACTTTGTCTTGGCTGACATAGATTTATGTGTTTGCTTTTCTTCATTTGGCCGGATTTTATTTGCTTCAATTTAATACAACTGGAAATTGGAATCAATGTGTTTTGCATTACTTGAGTTTGGTTTTAGTTGGTAGTTCTTTGTTTGTTCCCGTATTGTAAAGATAATTAGAGACATTCACTTCAGGAATTCTAGGTTTCTAAAATTCTGTTCTTTAAAGCTGTTTTGTTTTCTGGTTGCTTTAGTGTTATATAACCCATGTTTGTGTTGCTAACTTGTAGAATTCTGAAGGCTTTTTTATGCAGTCATAATTTCTTGCTCTTTAGGAAGCTTTCAAAAGGTTCAAAATATAAATCATGAATAGTAGCCTCGAGCTGTGCTTTCTTGGTTTAGTTCTTGATGCATTTCCTGAAATGAAATGCACAAAAGCATTTGGTTTTATCTGGTTTTCCAGCTTGACAAATGATTCTATTTAATTCTATATCTGCACTCTTCAAAACACATCTCAGTGAATCTGGAGAGCGGAACTGAGGCATTTGTAAACGCATTTACTTAGAGATATGGGGCTGTTAACCCAGCAGTTTCCCTCACTCTGTGTGGCACCAGCCATGGATATTAAACACTTATAAAAGTCTGGGTTGAAATTCTAACCCCTTGTAGTCAGTCTGAGTTTGGCGATTGGTTTCAAAGAGGCTATATTTTGTCCCTGTCCCCTGAATGTTTGGGATACTGTTAGTTTGCATTAGCTGCACCACTGGGGGGCTTTTGCAGAGTGAAAGTTCAGAGTTACACTAGTATGACTTCAAACTACTTAGAATAATCTTCTTGGAACAATTTGTCAACACAATAATTTTATCAGTGTCATCATTAGAGCTGCTGTTTCTTTTCAACCCTTATTATTTAATATTTTAAGTCACATATCACTTTTGTTCCAAAGGTTATCCAGAAGAGACCTATCCTGTCTATGATCATTCTGATTGCATTAAGCGAAGACAGGACACGATTCTTGTAGATTACCCTGGCCCCACTCAGCCCTCTGCTGAAGAGCTAGCAGAAAGAATGGAAGGTGTGGGAGATGAGGATTATTTGGGTAGTGAAACCTTATTGTCCAATTTCACTTCAGGGAGGGACAGCCATGAGACAGGACAGAAAGAGGATGAGCAGCCCAGCTTCAGCGACACGGGTGGTGTCCTTCATCCTAGCCATAACTTTGAGACGTGCTATTGTTGTCACTGTGAGGAGGATGATCCTGCTGTCGTAGCAGAGAATGCCGGGTTCCACTCTGACACCTGCAGCGAGGCAGAAGAGCCAACCAAAGAGAACCTGGCTGTAGAATCTGACAGTGAAAATGCAGCAGTAAAAATCCAAGCTGGCAGGGAGTCAAGTGAAGCTGGTGCACTGAGGAAGCGAAACACAAAAGTACATGAATGATGGAAACCGTGTGTGGTCATTATAGTAATGGTGACATCCCACAACATCCCACACATTGTCAAATGTATGCTCTTTGTTCGTGACCCAGACTTCCTTCCCTTTCCACTTTCAGCACTTCAGATTAATTTCAGTTAGGTAACGACTGTACCAGCACCTACCTGACTTGGAAGGTAATGACTTCTTTCATTCAGTGTCTTCCTTCCTTGTTATTCCCCTGCCAGCAGCCGGTGCTCCTTGCTTGCAAGAGACTGCAACATGTTTGAGCAGAGTTTCTCTCTTCAGATATTCACACATTCTCTCTACTTTCTGATTGCTGCCTCTTAATAACACCCTCTCCTCTGAAATACTAGCTTTGCCACAGGATCCTGATGGTCAGCACTGGGAAGGACTTCCTGCCCCGGAGTCCAGCCTCCCTGACTAGTTATGAAAACAAGGCCATTTGTATTAGTGTTTTGATGGGGAGGAAAGCGTTGAGGTTGTACCTGTGTAGCAGTTGTCAATTCATCTAATCACCTAACTGTCAAGGAATCCAGCATGAGCTGCATTGGTGACAAGATGCTTTTTTGATCTAGGAATAACTGCTTCTGTTTCATCAGTAAATATGACACAGCAGGCATTTTATTCTTAGACCACTAGGGCACGTCTTGGTCCTATTTTACTGAATGCCTGCATATACCTAAGTGCATCTGAGGTGCTGATATCACATGTCTCTTTCATTTTAAAACCCTCCTAATTTTTCAGAAAAAATGTATTCTGATGTTTACATTGAATATATGATTACATTTTTGCTATTTATGAAAGCTTTCTACTGTGGAAAAATAGTTCATTATAGAAAAAAAGAGAATATATCTGAGACGCTATTGAATGCTTTCCCTTTTCTATTTAGAATATCATTATTTTGACACTAAACACATTTGTAGTCAGTTTTACATTAAACAGTTTCTCCTTTTGTCCCCTCAGTAGCTGTCATTTTTGCCCCAGCAATTCCTAGCAGGCTGTTTTGCAAACAAGATTATAGGTGTCAAGGGTTTCAATCTGGCTTTTAATAATGGAAAATGAGGGTTGAAAGTGGCCCAAAAGGCACCGAAGACCCTTTAAACTTTAATCTTGTCCTCTGTGAAGCGTCTTCCTCCTCAAACCAGTTGCAGTCATTTCCTCCAAATTATATGCAGTTCTGCTGTTGCCTCAGAGAATGAATTGGAAATATTGAACATTCCCACTTCAGCAAATGAACCTTCAAGAAAAATTCTTGGAAGAAGAGCTGGCGGTGGCAGGTAAGCTGGTGATGAGTGCTTTTCTCCTTCAAGTGTGTACAATAGTATTGCTCAGGTGATAAACATGTTTCCTTTCAGCCTAGATGGGGCACTTAATGCTACTTCAGGGCCTACATTACTGTTGAAATTTTATTAAGAATCCATATTGGGAGCATTGAAGGGGTACTGTAGACATAAACGTTAAACTTCACAGCAGCTGAGCTGGGAAGACAAAAGGAATATTGTGGGAGGGAAGGGAGGGGATTGTTAGGCCTTGCTGGTAAATGTTTGCTGTATTAAAATATGAAAAATATGACCAAATGATTTTTTTATACTGTAATTTTCCCTTCTATTCATGTATATGCATGGCTGAATGGATGGCCCTTATGTGAATTAGATGATTTAATGACGTAATGCCCATACTTTGTGAGCAGTGCAAACAATACCCAAACAACCCTCTTGCCAATTGGAACACAACTTTGGGTTGAAGGAACCAAAAACTGTGTTATAATGAGTTTGATTGATTTTTATTCATTGACTTTAATGGGGCTGGGACGTCCCTCTTCAATAGTTTGTCTGTCAGCGTTCCTTGTTGGCACCACATCATCTCAGTCACTTACATACACATTGGATGGAAGTCTGTCTTGTATGACAGGAATCAAGAATCCAGTGAATGTTACTGCTTTGTGTTTTCTTTTGAAGTTTGCCATTAATTTTATATGCCCGAACTATTTGGGTTGTTTTCAGGCTAATATATAACATGGGAAAATAAAACCTTGTTCCTGGAGCAGAGTAACTGCAACCAGGGATGTGATGCCACTATATGAAGGCAGCATTGTGCAGTAAAATACATCCTTCTCCTATTTTCATGACAGCTTTTTGAAATTCCTGATCTTTCAACATTCATATTGATAAGTAAGCCATTGGGCATGGCACACAAGGGAGAACAAGGAAAGGTGGCTTTTTCCTCAGCATAGCTTACAGCAGGTCAAGTATAGCTCTAAGGCAGAGGGCAGCAGCCTACAGACTGGATCCAGCCCGTGGAGCCATTAAACCAAGCAACAGAGCTGGGGCTTCAGCAGTGGGAGACCTCAGCAGCATTCAGGAGAGGGGGGGCAGGTGGGGCTTCGCCTGGGGCTTTCAGGGGAGTGGTGGGTGATAGAGAGCAGTGGCCAGGGCCTAGTGCCAGCCTACCTCACACCCAAACGGCACCTTTCCAGCTTTCTGTTGGAAAACGTTGCTGACCACTGCTCTAAGGTACTCTGACAGTAATTTACGCGCTAAAACTTCTCCTGCTGATTTCAGGACAATGAGGCATGTCCGCCCTGCCTATTCCTATCTCCTAAACAACCATCACATGTCTTATGTAGTCGAAGTGGTCACTAGAAAGCCAACCTTTTTCCACCTTGGGATTCCCCTTCATCAGCTTCCACACAGGAGGAGCCTTTGTGGAGCCTTTGTGGATCCTATGACCCCAGCTGACTTCCTGCCCTTTGGGCGGGGGGCTGGACTCGATGATCTTCCGAGGTCCCTTCCAGCCCTGATGTCTATGAAATCTATGAAATCTTAGCTGCTTTATGATGTTTAGGATCTGGCCCAGTCTTCCCATCTGTGCTTCCAGAATGAGGTTTCTCTTCCTCCATATTTAGTATCTCTGAATTAGAGCAGTCATAGCAGATGACCTCAATCACAGCAGAAGCTGTTTCACACTCTCTGCCTCATAGCAGTCACATGCCTGCAGTCAAATGCTCTTACCACATGTTTGGTTTCTGCTTGCCTAGCTTCATTGGAACCAACCAACAAGACCCGTGTCTTTATTTATAAAACATTGTGCTACTCTGTTTCAGAAATATGTTAATACCAAAGCTTCAGCCTAGTGCAAGTGCCATTTCTTTTCCACCTATGTGCAATGACAGTGTTCATTAAATACTGTGTTACCCCTGCAAATAATTATTGGAGAGACAAATGGAGCTGATGATGACCACTTATATGTATTAAAATAGGCTATTTTGCAAAAGCATCAAGATCTGCTTGCTAAGGTTATGTATGTGATTTGTCAAAGATATTTTTTATGAAACTGGATTACCACCAGTTGGCATTGTTTGTTCCTCTCTGTAAATGATATGGTATAATTAAATCTTCTGAGAATGAGACAGGAATCTAACCCTCATGAAGAAGAGGACATCAGCTCAGTTCTTGACCACAAACAACATTTTGGGGCAGTTCAGGGATGTGCAGACTTCTGGAATGCTAAGTTTCTGCAAAGCTGTGCTTATGTAATTTGGGTTCCTATTGTTTATAAGTGTCTGTCAGTGAAATTCAAAATGTCCTTTGTGGGTATTTTTTTTATTATTTATGATTGAGACTGGCAGCATATTTCAAAGCATAACAATATGGAAATAACCTTATATGTAATGTAAGAGGCATACGGATGCCTTAGATACCTAGCTTAACACTGTATTTAATAAGACTAAAATGTAGCAAGTTGTTTTTGAATAATAAAGTCAAACTGCTGGCCAAGTGGTAAACAGAAATGTAATCTGAAAGTTTGCAAAAGACTGTGTGAAATATATAAGTAGCATATCAGAAACTATTAGGTAGCATGCTTTTAACTTGTTAATACAACCAACAGGTAGGCAAGCAGCACTTACGTAGCCTTCTCTTCCAGAAGTAAATCAGTGGGAGGAGGAAGAGGCTCGCCTGCCTTTTAGGTCAGCAGCCTAATGGTTAGGATACTTGTTCAGTAAGTAAGAGACACTGGTTACCAAGACTGAACATACATCAAGAAAATGTACCCCTTCTACTGGCCCACTGGGAAGCTAAGAGAGGAAGATATGCAGTGTCTGTAGGACAGAAAGTGCAAAGGAGAAGGGAGCCCATCTGTGGCTCAGGGTGTTGTTGGTTGTGATTCTGGGTTCTCACCCCTGCTCTTGTCACCAAAGGGGTTTCTGCAAAGGGTTTTAATAATCATGGATTAAACAGAGATTAGAACCCAGTGCCTTTCTATCCCAGTGAGCCACAGGAACAGACTTCTGCTACCATCCTTTCCTTCTGGCTTCCCCCTCATAGCTGTTTCTATGGGAAAGGAGGGACTTTGCTAAGATCCTGGCCCAGCAGTTAAAGAACTCCTGCTTCTAAGCAAAGAACTCTAAGTGACTGTCCACACAGACACATTGTGTTTTGGTGACCTCCGGCCCACATTCTTCCTCAAAAAATCACTCTAAAATACATTTTGCATTTTCTGTCTTTACCTTTTGGGGTGAGGGGGGGAGAATCCATTTCTCCATCCCCATTTTTTTGTGTACCTCAAGGCAGAAATCCTGTTTTCCCTTTTCTTTGCTCCAATCTTCAGTTTTACTTTTTGCTATTTTTCTCCATGACTTGGTTGAAGGCTTCCCTCTTTTTCTTATCATCATGCTGCCTTCACCTAAATCACTGGGCTTCTAAAGCTGCCCTTTTTTTTTTTTTTTTGCAAGGGGCTGATGCTTGCTTCAGACTTGCATGCAGGGTGCATGTGCTGTTTTAGGGAATCCATGTGTCTGACATGTGACAGGTCAGCCCTTTAAACCAGGGGTTGGCACCCTATGGCCCATGGGCTGGATCCTGCCTGCAGTCATTTTAACTAGTCTGCAGAATATTTATCCGGCTTCCATGGTGTTTCACCAACGGGGGTGCAGAGGACGAGGGTCGAGGAAGGTAGGGCACTGTCTGCCTGGCAACTGTATGGCAAGAAGAAGAGGCAGTATTAGTGGCAGGGTAGGTAGTGAGTGGAGCTCTGGCTTCAGATCCAGCTGCAACTCTGGCTCTGATGTAACACAGGCTGGATTGGAAATGGCCCCATCCCACTGCAGAACATTTTCACCCTGTTTTAAGCCAGTAACAAGAAAAGAACACAAAACAATGTTTCATCTTTTCCATCAGCTCGTCTTTGGATCCCAGCTTCAAATTATTAGGTCACCGCGCTAGTAATCATTCTCCTCCCCAGCAACAATGCACGGTTCCAGATTGACACCAAGAGGCCATTGCCCATGCCCCCCACCCCCTACATCCCAATCCCCCTCCACCCACAGCTACAATTAAAGCAAGGTCCTGCTCCTCCCTCTGACTTCTTCACGCAGAACACTTTCTTGCCTTGCCACTTCCCCCACTGGGGGATCTGTGCCATACTGGAAGTACACCACATGCAGTAAAACTGGTGTCAATAATTGATACATACAGAGCCAGAGGTGGCTCATAAAGCTCTGGGACCGCTTGCCTTTGTGTTACTTCCTAGTCTGAGACGATCAGGCCCACTGGGGCACCCACAGGTTCTCATATGGTGGACTTAATCAGGACCAACATCGTCCACTGATCCAAGCACCTGCCTTGACCATGGTTGTTCCCTCCTTGGCTCTACTGGTACCAGACTGATGCCAAAAGTCAAAAAGTTGGCACTGCTTCCCATGTCTACCTTAGATCTTGAACTAATCGATACTTTATGGTATCCCTTACTTCCCATCCTAGTACTAAGGGTAACCCCAATCCAGTCCTCTCCATACAAGGCTTCATCATTTTAGCAAGTACCTAGTTTTTCAGTTTAGCGCCCACTGAGAAACTGGGTCAATAATACAGGGGGAAAGCCTATTTACACAGGATCAACTTTTCCCGCCTGTACTGCTTTGTGCCTGTGGTGAGAGATTTAAGAAGTTGGCCATTCCATCCAAAAGGTTTTCCCCAACTGGGCTTCTAGTTGTGTTAGAGCAAGGGTGAGCGAAGTATGGCCTGTGGGCCAGATTTGGCCCACCAGGCCATTCTATCTGGCCGACAGGGCCCTAAAAAATTTAGAAAATATGTATCTGTCCCTGGCTCTTGTCAAAGATGACAGGAGCCAGGGGCAATAGGACCCAGGGGAAACCATGGCAGGCTCCTGCAACAGCCGGGCCTGCCCCCAGCCTCAAGCCCTTGCTAGGGGCTTTCGGCCTGAGACCGTGGGCCTGCTCATGCCTGTGCTGGTGCAAGAGTGGGAAATTCAGGTAAGAAGTGTGTGTGTGTGTGTGTGTGTGTTGGGGGGGGGGTGTGGGGCACACGTGTGCAAAGTTCGCCCTAGTCCTCAGGGCCCGGCCAGCTTCTGCTGTGTCCCACGGTCCAGCCATACAGTCAGGAGCCATGTAGTGCGGAATGGCCGGTAGGCAGGAAAGTGGAAGCAAGCAGGAGTGCGGGGCCTGCACCAATGTCCCCAGACCAGCGCTGGCAGGGCCCAGAGTGGGAGTGCAGGGTGTGGGCTAGCAGGGGTTGAGTACTATATTATTACAAGAGAGTATAAGTGGCCAGAGCATGTAAAACCCAGGTAACCAACATAAAAGGCCACTTACATGGCCAACTTTGGCTCTCAGTGTTACTTACCTGCTTAGAGAGGCATTAGATTTGAGCCTTACTGCTATTTGTGTACACTAAATACTTCTTTGGTTTCACATGTGCAGTTATATACATCACATGATATGATGCTGCATAGTATAATTTTTTTAAATTGTCCTAAGCTTTTTTCTGGTTACTTTCTTTCAGCCTGATGACAGCACTAGGGAGTTACAGTTTAGCTCAGACACTAAAAAATAAAACTTTATGCCCTGCTTCTTAGTGAATGTCATGTATTTGTATTATTTCAGAGAAGGTGTGGGTACTGCTGTTCTATCTACCTCTGCCTAAAGCCAGGACTTCAAAAAGGAGAAATATGAACTGGACTCTAGTTTTACTAGGAGGTTAGAGTATAGTTTTCTATAGGATGGCTTAGATTGGGATGATCCTGCCTTAGGCAGGCAATTGAACTAGGTCACCTCTGGAGGTAACCTTCCAGCCCTACTTCTCTATGATTCTGTCAAACTGATGTAATGCAAGAAGCTCTGCAGATTGATTTATGTATTTCCATATATACGTATTGCACTGACATAAGGCATAGCATGGGCAGATGTTAATTCTTCATTAGTGACAGATTTGCAGGCTGAGAATATGAATTAGAGCAGCTGAAATGGTCATACCATGTGAAGTGGCTTTAAAAAACTGTAAGAAGTGGGAGGACAGATAATGCAGAGTGCTGTAATACAACAAATCAGCCCAAACTAGCAGAAAGACCCTAAATGAAATAGGAATAACTGAAGTGCTTGACAGTGAAATGCGTTGGGTTAGGCGCATCCTTCTCACCAAGGCAAAACGGTGTTGGTGAGCCCAGAAACATCCTACAGTGCCCAAGCTTCCCAAATCCCCAGAAGGACCTCTCTGTGACTCCCTCCCAACTCTACTACCCTGGGGTCTGAAGCCCTACGTGTGACTTGAACTTCTGAAAGCAAATAACAAAGGTGGTCTGCTCCTATTACTTGCTGGACAAACATTCCAGGTTCTGCTTGTTGGACCAGCTTCTTGAGAGAGCTGCAAATCCTTTTTATGACCCCACTCCCCCACCAAATGATCACATGGTGTCATAAAGTATCTCATTCTGCAGAAAGCTCCAGGAAAAGGGTAGCAAGCAGAGGGCTTCAAAACCAGGTGGTTAATGAATGGACTGTGTCAGAGATGCTAGCTCATGGGCACAATTGGGACTGGCCTGATAGCATAAGAAGATCCTGAAGGCCTAGCCCTTCAGGAAACCTTTGGATTTCTTGTGTCCAAAGGGTGATATGCATTTACTAAAAGGAGTTAACCCATACATGTGCTGGGGATGACTTCACTGAAACATGCTTTGTTGCTGACTCTGGGGTGGCCTTAGAACTATCTGATGACAACCGTGCCATGGACCAAGAGAAAAACAAGCTGCTTACCTCTGGCACAGCTGTCACAAGTGCCATGGACCGCCTCTGTGCACGGCACATGGCAGATTGGGGAGGGGACAGGCATCACAGTAGCAGATAGGGCAGGAAGCAAAACTGGCAAAGCAGGCAGAGAGCAGAAAGCAGAGCAGCAGTTTGTATAAGGGAGAGGTATCAGAGGGGTGCTTGGGGGGGTGCAGAGCTAATTTATGGCATGCCTGCCAAAAATAGTTGCTCCCCTGACTACACTAGGCCAAGACCAAGTCCAGCCGTGGGAGGTGTAGTGATACGGATTAGACTTTGGAGACAGTGCTTTACAAGGGAATGTCTTATCACGTGAGGAATTTTAAACTTGATCCCTGAAGAGGAATCAAGCTGACGGCAGCCACATGGTCTGTGCTAGAGGAACCCTGTGCTGTGGTATCATTAAAAGTCTGTTCTCTTCCTCATTCCTAGTTGTCGTTATTCACTGCAGGACCTAAATCATTACATGGTGTTATAAGTGGTGAATGGGGAAGATTGGCTGGATCTGCAATGTTATCCCTAGCAGAAAGCTGGTAATTCAGGGCCTGGAAGCTGCACTCAGCAAGGAACAAAGACCTCTGCGAGTACAGTACCTTCTCTGCAAGGCAGAAGTGTAAGCAGCTTAGAGAGACAGTTAAACATGGATGTGTTACAAACCCCTTCTTGCCTTTCGTTGTCAGGCAATATAGCTGAGAATTGGAGAAAATTTAGACAAATGTTTGAATTGTATTTAG